ATTAAATATTGTCATTATTCCAAACGGTATGGAAGCTCTCGTCACGCATGAAAAAATAAAGGAACGGGATTTTCAGGCTCCTGTAACGTCTCGCGCATTTCGAACGTTTTCTTTTTTTTCCGGCCGTGAATTATTAAAGCGGAAGGAACAGCTTGCAATCCGGCGACTGTTCTTGTTCACCGATGAAAAAGTAACTCGCCGGGCTTCCTTCTTTTTTTCATTCTTTGCGCGCGCGACGCATAATGAGAGGAAAAATAATGAAAATAATGCAACGCCTCGCCTTGCGTTTCCTCTCTTCTCGCTTTATCTAAGGTAAATACGGCTTTAGATAAATCTATCCGCGACCTACTATCCCGCGCGACACATTCAGAAGAACTGTGCTCTGTTCCGCGCGAAGATGGGCCGTTCATTCCCATCGTTACCATTTCAGATCGTGAGATCGAGGCCTCGTTCGCATTCGAACCGCAATTTGTTCGCCGTTAATGAACCTTTTCTCGCTTGCACGGACACAAATGAATTAATTAATCCGCCGTCTCGTTAGGTGTCACGCACCTGCCACGGTTGCCTCGTAACGATAACTCCCAAATATGCTCGTGGATTATTAGGACAATGGGTTTCGTTCACCCTGGGAGGCTCCTGGGAAACACGGCGGCACGACTGACACTAAACCTAAATTTTCGTTTCAATGATCGTCGAAGCTGTGTACTGACTGTTGCACGAAAATTACATTCTGGTAAAAATGACGAGAAGTCTGAATAAACTCTACATTATAGTAAAAACGACGAAAAGTCTCAATACATAATTATTACGGATATATTTGATTCTTATTTTCGATCGAATTCTTAAAAAATGTAAATCAATTTTTCTTTACGGCAGAAGTCCGTCGAAATTCACGCACAATTAATATAATTGTTATAATATTGGGCTGGCAACTAAGTAATTGCCGATTTCAGTTATAGATGTCTCTCACTCCCATTTTTATGATATCCGTAAATGTTATATTATAAAATTATTATTATTATTATTATTATTATTATTATTATTATGTTATTTTTTATTATCCGTGAATGTTAGCAACTGGACAAATTGAATACAGCGGTCAAGGAAAAGCGACCAGAATTGGTCAATCGTAAAGGTGTCATTTTCCACGACAGGAACAATGCTAGGCCACACACGTCTTTGTCCACTCGGCAAAAATTGATGGATACTGGTTGGGAATCGATGTTACACCCACCATATAGCCCTGATCTCGCGCCATCGGATTACCACTTATTTCGATCCCTGGACAACTCCCTTCGTGGTAAAACTTTTAATGATGATGACGCTGTAAAATCTCACTTAACTCAGTTTTTGGCCGAAACGGATCAGACTTTCTACGAGCGTGGAGTTTTCAAGTTGTCAGAGAGATGGCGAAAGGTCATCGAACAAAATGGAAAATACATTACAGATTAAACTTCGTTCCAAGTAAAAAAAAATTTTTA